GCTCAGAATGGATTGTTTTATAAAAACAGATTATTGCAAAATTCAATCCATAAACACGCAAAGGATAAACTCTAAACATTACGGATCATATTCTAGTAATGGGACGCGTCATATGAAGCAGAGATAGCAATATTCTTTTGAGAATACAGTTACATCGAAATGATTGAAAGGAAAGTGTCCTTTTCTTTTCAAAAATATTTGTGGGTATCTCACTTTAGTTATATGAATAATTTCTCATTTACGCCTCTCCTGTCTTTTGAACAGGAGTAGACGTTTGTCCCATATTTCGCGTTTAGGATTTGTTTTCTGGTTCCTTTTAAAGTCTTCTCGTTCTCTTTCACCCACAATAGCCCCCTTGCGCCTTCATGGTGTTGTCGCCTTGCTTGGGGCGAATTGATAAAAAATTGTGATGGTACGTATTTTGAATCGCAGCCATTTGCCATTTTATAAAATTATCTTTTTTTTAATTTAACTAATACGAGAACTTTATGAGAATCGTGGTTAATAGACTGAATGAATAGGAAAATGACTCTTCACTTGGGAATTTATTTCTGTTTAACTAGTATCTAATAATGAATCTCATCTGTTTGACAAAGCTATCACTGTCCAATTGACAGCTTTACATTTCAAAATAATTTTTTAAAGTCATGATCGCATTAAATGTAAATTCTTTCATTTAAATTTATTAAATAAACACTGTAAATTTCATGTAAAATCTCGATTTTAATCATTTATTTTCTAAATGTTTAACTGAATGACTTTTATTTTTACTTATTTTTTCAGATGTGATGTCATCAGTGGTGAAGTCCTACAAGTTATTTTTAATTTATTCACAAAACAGGAGGATAAAAATAATATCCGAGCAGAAATGTACGTCAAAACAAAAATGAATTAAAAGAATCAGTATTTTATGAAAGGTTTTTAGCAATTGCTTGAATATATGTTTTTAACACTGTATATATGAATGTATGCATGCGTGCATCTATGTCATACAGCATTTCTACTGTCAGCGGGTGTGGAACAAAACTGGGCCTCAGTTGGACTAAATCGTCTTGTAAAAGTTCAATACATTATATACCTACTGCTACAATCTACTTTTCAACAGGAGTAGAGGTTTACCATTTGTCTCCTGTTTAGGATTGGGTTTCCAGTTTCTTTAACGTCTTCTGATTCTTTTTTACGCCCAGTAGACCTTTGTATCTTAGTCGCATTGTCGCTTTGCTTCGGGTGAATTGATTAAAAAAATAAAGAAAGTGTTTTACGTTACCACATTTACACAAGAGAGTTTAAGTCCCTACCAGAACTAAAAAGCCATATACGTCTAAATTAATTAACCGGTGGCATTACTCGAGTCGCAACCATTATGTATGTATGTATGAGACCCGGTTTCGAATCTCACTATGGTCGATTTGTCAAGGAGGTGATTTCTTGATTATATCGGGTCTTGGGTGGGGATTTCAGCGCGCGGAACATCTAGAAAGTACTTGAAAACCATATCACGAATTAGCCTTATGAGAGAAACTGGGTTGAGAGAATCGTTTGGAAGCCGTCGATGGTCGTGTTAGCACGAAGTCACAAGTCATCGTGACCGAGAGTTTGAGCGTGTTGGCCTTGGTAAAAAAATAAATAAATTGAGCTGACATCTGTAATAGGAATTTGTTTGTATGTATGTATGTATGTATGTATCTATCTATCTATCTATCTATCTATCTATCTATCTCTATAAGTTTGTGAATAGCAAAGTTATTTAAAACGGCGTAAGTTTTAAGATTATTCAACCAATATTATAAAATGTGTATATCTGATCTTGGGTTTTCCTTTTTGTTAAAATAATCTTTCATATTCATCAAAATGTTTTTTTTTTAATATCTTTTTAATAATATACAGGCAAATTTACTTACTATTCTCAATGAACACATTAAACCTTGGACCATTTAGAAAAAGAAAAGTTTAATTCTTTTTTATAAAGAACAGAGTCTTTGTAAATCGCTTCATTTAATTTGATATTTACTTTGAACTTGTGCCAAGACTCGTTTGTGTTACTTTCAAAATATTTTCTTCTGAACTACACAGAAAGTAATAATTTTGAATAAACAATATTAAAAAAAATTGTATATGTTACTTTTTAAATCTAAAGATAGGATATTGTTTTGTAAGATCAGTGCTTTTTTCCTTTTTAGTAAGTGATCCAGACAAATCTGAATTAAAAAAATAAAAAGCAACCGAGGTTAAAATCTGATTGCCACTGTTTTAATTTCCTACTTGAACTCTGGTTACGACAAGATGGATCAGAGAACTGCGGTTTCATTGTGTGTGAGCCTTGTTGGAAATGGATGAGGAATGGAGATGTGTTTGATCTTTTTGATCGAAGTTGTTTGCAACCGATAACAATGAATATTGAACAGTTGAAAAGCCAAGAAAAAAAAAAAAAAAAAGAAACGAAATTATGAACGCAGAAAAGATAAACGAAAAACAAAGATGGAACGGATGAAAGAAGGTAAAGTAAGAAAATTCTTATTTGAAAAGGATTAAAATCGAAGATTCTTCATGAAGTTTTTCATAGAAATGTTGTGTCATAGAATTTGGGACCAAAAAAATGATGACAAAAGATATATGGTAATAAATTTGTAGAGTTTGAGACAAGACTGGGAAATAAAAAAAGAAATTAGAAGCGAAAATGTTAAGTCGAAGAAGAAAAAAGTGGATGGAAATTATAGAAAGAAAGATGAAAATGACTATAAAAGATGGATGACATGAGATAGAGGAAGAATAACAACAAAGACGATGATGTTGTGAAGAAGAAGAAGAAGAAGAAGAAGAAGAAGAAGAAGAAGAAGAAGAAGAAGAAGAAGGTGATGACAATTTTGGAGAGAAGAAATGTTAAATTGTTTTGAAGGTTTGTTTCAAGAAAAATGACTGTCAAGTTTAGAGGACGGTGTAGATTAGAAAGGCAAAAATTGTCGCACTGGCTCAGCGATTGGCTATGTGGCGATGTCCTCACTGTGGAAGGATAAGGATGAGACAGGAGAAAAAGGAAAAGATAGAAGAAAGTACAGTGAGGTGAGATGATGGGGTTGGCTGTGGTGGATAGATGATAATAGTAGTTGAACGAACGAAGAAAAACTAAGAGGAAAAAAAGACAGGTTTCGTGGGACGTAGGCGGGCGTGATATTGTGGCTAGATGCGGATGTGGCGGGAGGTTTTAACAAGATGAGGAAGGGGAGGTAATCTAAGAAAAAGGGAGGGGGGCTTGTAAAGGAAAAGCATTATGTTAGAGGAGGAGGAAGGCGTGAGTTCTCACCCACATACACACACACACACACACACACACACACACACACACACACACACACACACACACACACATACACACGGCCAAGCGTGTGGTAAGACGAAAGGAAAGGAAAAAAGTTGGGGAAAAAGATATGAAATGGTGGTGGATGATTGAGATTTGGATGTTAACCCTCTCCCGAGAACTGTCAGTCCATTATTCGCCCCTATTAACGTAAAAATGTCACACACAACTAACCTTAAATAGAGAATAAAATTTAATTTTTTTTTCAATACAAATTAAAACAACAGGAAATATGAAGGAAGTAAATAAAAAAAAGAAAAAAGAGAATACAAAGCAAAAGTAAATAGTAATCGTAATAACTTTTAAAAATGAAGAACACCTAGAAAAAAAAACAGCAATAAAATAAAGCACAAAAAAATTTGAAGTTAAATGCAGGTTACTTGACGAAAGAATGAGAAGGCGGCGTTGGTCTTATTATTATTATAATGGATTAAATTGTTTAAGGAAATAGAAGAAAAAAAATGTAAAAGCATGCTAAATAAAGAATTAAAATAAATACGGCGTTAAAAAAGATGTCAATTTAATATATACCAAGCAACGTCTTCAATATCCATAAATTTTACTTGTATTTTCATTTTGTTTCATGATTTTAGTGATTGCTTCTTCGTCCGTCCCAACGTCTGCCCCTCTTCAGAAACGGCAGCAGCTGAAGTTAAGGTGGTGATGGTGGCGCATATGAAACTTGCAAAAATCTCGCTTGGGTTAATCTGTTATATACTTACACGTGTGAGATCGCGTGCACACACACACACACACACACACACACACATATATATATACACGCACACACACACACACAGTATGCATATAGGGTGTGGAATATAGACACACGTCGGAATCAGTTTTCAGGCGTGTACGAATTTATGCAAAAAAAAAAAAAAAAAAAAAAAAAAGTCTACCGATGCGCTCATACGAAGAGACGCACACTTATAAATGCACACATATGAAAAGAGTCATATTTGTAGATGCAATAAGGCCCTCTAATCTACATATATTTGGACATAAGGACTCGCTTATGCATGAATAATTCTCACACGAATACGCATGCATCAGTGCAAAGAAGCATGCACTTCCACTAAGAATACATACAAATAATTTCACATATAAACATAGAAGATATAATACTAAACAACATGTTACATATATACACACGAACAAACGTGTCTCCTACATAATTTCAATTTAGTTTTCTTTCATCTTCCTTCACTTTCTCATTTTTACGCTTTTTCTTACTTTCTTCTATTTAATTTTTCTTTCTTTCTTTCTTTCTTTCTTTCTTTCTTTCTTTCTTTCTTTCTTTCTTTCTTTCTACAAGCAATTTTACTTTCTTATTCTATCCTGTTTTTTTTTTCTCTCCAACCACTTCTCTAACTTCTTTTGTCTTCTCTTCCCTTCACTATATTTACTCCTTCAGTCTTCTCTTAAAACTTCCTCCCCGCCTTTATTCTCCTTTTTCTTCCCCCCTCCTCATTCTTTTTTTTTTTTTGTTTTTTCCCCATCCATTTTTTTAATGTACATCCGGGCACTACCGACACAACTGTCACTTTCACATGTCCACAGAAGCGGTTCTCGTCTGCTCCTCTCCATCCCTTCCTTAAAAAAAAAAATGTTTATTCTTTTTGTTAAATTGACTTTTTTTTTCTGATCCCATGCAACTTGTCTCATTTATTCCTAGCTTACATATTTATATTTCATTCTCTATATTTTATCAAAATTTAGCTTTAATTAACATTTTACATACGCGCGTGCGCGCACACATACAGAGACGAGTGTTCATCAGATGTATATCGCACATATATTTAAACCCCCTTTTCCACTACCCCTCCTACAATTGTCTTGTATTCAACTGCCTCTCGTTCTCATTCACTTCATACTTGTCTATCTAAGACTACGTGTCCTTTATCTATCGTCACATACTCCTTTATTTCTCATATACAACGTCGCAAACAATCCATTTATTTTTTCTTGTTCATTTTTTATACGTTTGCACTATTTTCTTCTTCCTCCCGTCTTATTCCTGCAACCAAGATATTTCCTCTTCGCTATACGTTCTATCACTTTTTCTCTTTCCGTTATTAACCTTTTCCTTTCTTTCTCATCAGTAATATCTCCTTTTTCTTCACTGCCTCTTTCTCACTTATTTGATTACATTTTTCTTTTTAAAAAAATGTCCTTTCTTTTTTGTTTCCTTCCTCACGCTTTCATTCCTTTTCTCTCTGTTTTCTTTGGCCATCTTCCTATTTCTTCTCCGTTAAAAAGGTCACTTATTAAGCGAGGAATCATCTTTTATTCAACATAGCTTAGTGGTGTTTTACTGCCTAATGAAACATCAGGCGTCTCTGCTTCGACAGCTTATTCCGAAGGGCGAGATACCGTCTTGTCCGTATAGATTGATTGTACAAATCTAACGTAGATCTGTGTCATTCGCCATCGATTTTTTCCCATAATTATGCCACACTAAGGCTAAGTGATATTTATCCATGACCTCTTCTAAATTGCATTTTTCCCCTTGCAGTACCGTCTTTCTGCCAGAAATGCTCAATTACCTCCCCTCATATTCAGATCCATGACTAATGTAAAGAGTCGAAGGGCTGTTTCTTTTTTTTTTTAAAGAATTCCGAGAAGAGTTTCCATTAAAAGCGGAACAAATTTTACTTGCCAAAAATTACACCCGAAATATAACGTTATGTTGTTTTAATAGCAACGAACTCCTAAGCGCGACCGTCAATTGCTTCATATTCATTATATACATTCGCACTGCTTCAGTTGTCAAGTAATGATATCACTACTAGTCGATATATCCGTTGAATCTATAATTCATTCATTCATTCATTCATTCATTCATATATCGACGAAGAATTGTATTTTCTTCTTTTGCTTTTAAGTACTTTTTCCTTTTCTCTCACTGAGGACATGCTTCATTACAGTTTACTCATTTTATGGGTATTTATCAATAAAAATTTAGAACATTTTTTAAAAGAAAATCAGCAATTAAAAGAAACAATTTAAAGAAATGTAAGGAAAAGGACAAATGTTAGTTTGCCTTATGATTTGATACACGCGCGTTTTCTTCGCTTCTATATATTTTGTTTGTGCTAATCTAAATACGAACTTAAAGTCAATATGAATGATGAATGGACATACGCATGCGCGAGCGCAAACACGCACGCACGCACGCATGCATGCACGCACAAACACTATATATATCCGTGGTTTCATGATTGACAATAAATTTCTATGGAATCATTATTTTTATTTTCGACAAACTGTCATTAAAAAATGTAGATAAGATAAAAAAAATAAATTGATGTTTTAAAATATTTACCGAGAGATTTGAAAGCAGATTAGACGATACACACAAAAAACAAACATTATTTTTGTAGGTAACAATCTGTTGGTTAGTGGGACAGTGAACGAAGGACACTTAAAAGACTATTATTACTATTGTAAAAGACACAAATGAATCTTTTTTTCAGTGAGTATTGTGGTCTGCGAAATCTCGCGCATGTTTAAAGCAAATCAGGGTTGTCCCCCTTATATCGCTTCGGATATCTTTGCGATATAAAGAAATAAAAAAAAAGAAATGTCTGTTGAAGGATAAGCATAAATAATTATGATAAAATAAGAAAATTATTATTTTTAACAGAATGTGAAATGTTTATTATTAATAATAATAATAATAATTTCTTCGATAAGCAGAGAGTTATTGATTTTTATAAAATTTCTGATAAAATGCTAAAATTAATTCTTTACACTATTTTAGTTAATTTTGTAATAATTTCGATTTCAAGCCGTTTTTGAACTTAATCAGGTGACACTGAAAATTTTAAAACATCCTTATCTTTTGTTGAATAATAGACAATTTACCTTATATGACTACAGTGCAATGTGTGTGTCTGTGTGTGCGTTTCTCTGTGTCTGTCTCTGTGTATGTGTGTGTGTTTCACTATGCGCGCTTATATGTGCGCGCATGTACGTGTGTTTGTGCGTGTGTGTATTTGTACGTGTGAAGTTATTTCAGGTTTTAAACAATTATAAACTGTCGATAAAAGTTAATTTTGAAAAAAAAAGAAAAAAGAAAAGAAACAAAAAACAGCAGCAACAAAATATTAATCTTATATATGCATTTAAAGTTTGTCCGTCACTGAGACTTTGATGGCTGCTCATAAAACATCCGCCGTATAAAGATTGTTCTGTGTTTTAACTATTTTTAGTCATTAATACCTGCAACTTTTAATTTTTATTGGTAGCTTACTTGGGAAAGATAAATTCTAGCATCTTAAAAAGAAAAAAAATCAAGGCAGAATTCTAGTTTTTAACAACACCAGAAATTACATCGGCTAACGGGTTACAGGAAATTCACTTCACATTTTGTGACGTTTGGGAAGGCATGAGCCCAAAACTCCATGTGCTCTCCCGAATCGGTAGATATGTTGATAAAATATTTTGTCATTTTTTAGCTCAAATGAACAGGTGAAGAAACATTTAGGAAAATGTCCCCACTTAACTACATTGGCGGCCCAATGTCGAAGTATCAAAAATCTGTTAACGTTAGTATCAAACTTGACATAGTTAATATATATATATATATATATATATATATGCAGGCACATCTTCATTCAAAAATGTTTATTTGAATAATATAAACATGTTTTATACTGATCCTTTGTCTAATCAGTTTCTTGATGTTAAGATGAAATTCATCAAGGAAGCAGCCGTAGCGTGATTTTTTTTTTTTTACTAAAGTACTTTTGATCTTTTCCAAGATCATCTTCAGAGGTAAATTACAAAGACAAACTTATTGTAAAAGTGAGAAAATCTGCATTCCGATGTGATGCTGATTTTTAAAGAACACGCGCGAACGGGCTAGTTATAGTTATTTTAATTTTTTTAATATTCGTTGTAGTTATGGAATTTTTTGCTAAACAAGCGTTTCAGTATAAGGAAGCTGACCAGAAATTGGGAGAGAGGTAATATAGCATTAAATGTTTGTTAGATGCACTTTAATATATTGTTGTTATATTCTTAATAAATTTTGTTGTGTGCTGGTTGGTTGATTTATATATATATATATATATATATATATATATATATATATAACTTTCATTAAAGACGACAGGTAAGGTACTGCGATTAAGCTTTTTATTTAATTTTTCTTGTGTTCGAACAGGTAATTTCTTTTCTAGACACAGAATGTGCAGGAACTATCCAAATGTTATGTAATTCTGAGCGCTTTCGGCTATACTTCTAGCCATTATCATATGATTTTTTTTCTTAATTGGGTGTATGGGTTGTGCGTATGTTTCTAGGGGTATAGGAATATTTATTCTCCGAACATAGCACATTGTGGCTGTGTTCGTAGTTAATATTATTGTGTTGGCTTTTTTCTTTTTTATTATTAAGGCTTCCATTACTTTTGATCTTTTTTTTTTTTTTTACATGTAGCTGAGGTTATTATATTTGTATTTTCTGCTAGTAGATTTCAAGTGGAGTCTGGTAAGTCTGTGTGTGTGTTTAAATGGGTTCTAATGGAGCTGTGGTCGGATAGGTGCAATGTAAGGCTTCTGGATAGGCATGTAGATATAACATAGTCTATCCGAATTTAAGTAGTGAATCGCATACAGAAATTCGGACCGGTACATTTTTCGCTCAACCTACTTGGAAGCCGTATATAACGAAGAAAGTATGAAGAATTTTCAAAGTTTCATCTGGTATATTTTGAACATGATAGCTATTCCCTCGATGTATAATGTAGATTCTTAAGTTGAATTTCTTTATAAACTATGTTTTCAGCAAAACATTTATTTTATAAAGTTCTTTTTGTCATTTTGCTAAGTCCATTTAATTTTCTACTCTGGGTATAGCATTATAGAGCTGACCACGAAAGAAATATTTGAATTTATTGCTAATATTTGTATTAATAATATTAAAATACAATTATTTCAGTAAACTTACTATTTTTCCATTTGTTTAAATAATTCAGTAGAGTTTTAAGATAATTTAATTAAACAGATTGTTTTGATTTATTTACATAATTTCGTAAAAAGCATTTTTGGTTCCGCTTGTCTAATTTGAAGTAATGTGAAATGGCAGATGATAACAATGATAACTACAAACGCTACAGAAATATGTCCTGCTGCAAATGTTGTTTATAAATAAATTTTATAGAGATAAGAGAAATTATTTTCTCAGTCTGTAAGATAGATATTTGACTAGTGAATAAAAAAGTGTTATAAGTCAAAATGTTGCTTATTTTCTTCTATTATATTAAAAAAAACGTGGCGATAGAACAAAGACAGCTATCACAAAACAGTCAAAAATGATGTTTTGTATGAAGTTATTTTGAACTACATCTTTGTTAATGCTTTTGCATTATCTGTAAAGAAAGCTTCTGTGACCTTTTGTCCCATTGTCTTGTATTAAGATATGTTCTCATTTTCCGATAAGTAGGATACATAGTGGTCCTCAGAAAAAAAAAAAGAGAGAGACATCGAAATCTTTACCTGACACGTTGTAATTTTATTTTATTCAAAAGATATTCCCTAATTTTTCATATTTCTAAAAAGTCCACTAAAATTAATTCTCATGCTCCTTGGCTTTGGGATAAGGTGCCTGTTTTTGTCGCCATTAAAAATCCTAAATAAA